GATTCTTATATCTTCTACAATATGTCATATTCCTTCAGGATATGGGTGATCAGTAGTCTCCACAACTTTCTATCCTTCATAACTCTAAGCAATATTTGTCTCCCTACTATTGCTCAGTTCATGTTCTGCAATTCATTTACACAAACTAATTAGGTAGGTTACACAATGTTCCTCTCTTCCCCTCTTGCCTTCCGTATATCCTGTGAGTGTCAAATTCTCCAAGCCATTGTTCCTCACTATGCAACCCAGAAATTTCAATTGTCTTTTTCTGATCCTAATTACAAGTGTTTTTTTTTAACTGGCATTTTTTTTTAAAACATCCTCATTATTGGTACCATATAACCCAGTACTACCTGTTTCATGCTGACACCTCTAAACACACCTGCTTTTTCTAGAGAAGTTATGAAGAACCAAGCATAGCAGGTAACAAACATACTTACAGGAAATACCACGTGCTATGTGAAATGATCAAAATAAATAAGCTTACTCTAGTAATAATTTCATGATGTGGAATGTTTCATTTTATAGCATGAAAATAATTGGCACATTGCATATTTAGGAATCCTTTGGTAGACCTAATACTTAAGTCAGGTTAGTTTAGGTTATAATTTTCACTGAGTCTATTTAGCATAGAATAAAATATGTTAGATTTTGTCCCTTTTTCTGAATTGGAGAGATTATATACAAATAATAGGAATTAAAGGGTTGCTTTCTCTTCCTGGAGTAATTTTATTTTTAATGCTTGCCCTTTCAGGGTGCAAGTGATTATGACTCTCCACAGCACCCTTTTCTTTAAAACTGAACTTCCATGACTATTCTTGGGACAGGTAGTGTATTGCTACTATTTTCTAATTCTTAAAGACTATGTCTGTACGTAAAAGTAAAGCACAATATTTGGTCAGGTAAGTGAAAATCAGTGATGAAAGTGGTTTTCTCTGGAGGGATGATAAAATATGTGCAAGACAAAGTACAAAACATGATTGCCACAACAGAAAACACAAAATGCAGTGTACATAAGTTCTTTGGCAAAAAGAGAAAAAAAAAAAGGAAAAATAAAATTACTTAAAATGACAATTTTTTTTTCTTATAGGTGACTAGATTAAAATGAAACCCTCAAATCACTCATGCAAATAGGAACCTGGAAATATACTGCAGGTGCAAATGTTTTTTGTATGTATACTTTGATTATAAAAGTACAATATAAAATTATTCATTTCAACCAGTTTTTCATGAAATTTGACTGGAATTTGTAATTTGGTTAAATACTGATTGTAAGGAAGTTCTATTGAAGTTCTAAGTATAATCCTATATTAGAATTGTATTTCCAACTTATGAGTTGGTGATGCTCATTCATACAGAAAAAGAAATTGCTCATTCTAAATTTGAGGTCTTTCCATGTAGGAAACAACTATGAATTTGTTAAATCTATAATAAAAATGACTCCTCATTGTTCTATAACAATAAATCTATAATAAAAATGACTCCTTTAGGTTGAATATTAAAATCAAACCACTTTTGCTTTCAGTTTTCTGGTTGGGGCTTGAGCTCATATCTAGATAACAAGTTTTAAATAAGTTTACGATAGTTACAAATATTTTTTCTCTAGAAATAAATAGTATAATGCCTATCATTTTGGTAAATAGTAGAATGTTTATTATTTGAGTCACTTGAGTGAAATTATTTTTACAGTAAATAAAATGACAAGAATATTATTAAAAACAAAAGCCTTTTAAAAATTAAGTAACATTGATTCAGAATATTTCACAATTCTAATATTTTGTAATATATTTTTAGTTAATAATTCAAATATTTTCTTTTCATAAAATCTTCAGTATTTAGAAATGTCTATAAGATTTCAGTTCAAAAGACAAGCATTTATTCTAAGAGAAACTTAAATATAAAAGCTAAAACTGAAACATTTTCTACTCAAGTTTGATTTTTCTACCTAATAATAGTTTTTAACAGGTTATCAACAACAAGTAATATTTTTTTCAGTTGGTATGTTCAGTGGATAATTCATGTGAGTGTCTGTAGGCTTGGCTTAATTACAAAGCTTACAGGAAATACCGCATGCTATGTGAAATGATCAAAATAAATAAGCTTACTCTAGTAATAATTTCATGATGTGGAATGTTTCATTTTATAGCATGAAAATAATTGGCACATTGCATATTTAGGAATCCTTTGGTAGACCTAATACTTAAGTCAGGTTAGTTTAGGTTATAATTTTCACTGAGTCTATTTAGCATAGAATAAAATATGTTAGATTTTGTCCCTTTTTCTGAATTGGAGAGATTATATACAAATAATAGGAATTAAAGGGTTGCTTTCTCTTCCTGGAGTAATTTTATTTTTAATGCTTGCCCTTTCAGGGTGCAAGTGATTATGACTCTCCACAGCACCCTTTTCTTTAAAACTGAACTTCCATGACTATTCTTGGGACAGGTAGTGTATTGGTTTTCTGTTGTCTTATCAACAGTTCTTAATTCAGAGTACTCATTCTCATAGACTGGCTGCCCTGCACCAAGTCTAAAGAGCACAGTTCATCCTACTATTTTACTGATAACAGGAGAGGGGAGGAGAAGAGTTGGATTCATGCCTTTCCTAAGGGCATTAGAGTAAAGTTAGTCAGTGTCTCAGTCAGAATTTGAACAAAGCTTGCCACCTCCTTTTTCTGTGCTAATAACTGTTACATCACCTGAAATTTCTTTTTGCAACTGTACATTTTTTTTATATTTTTGTTAAAAAAGTAGAACAAACTAAATTAATGTTTATTTTTGCTTCTTTTTAAACATCTGGTTAAATATTGGCAGAGAAAATTGAGTCTTGCCAGCTTTTGATAGTAACTGATTCATACTGAATGTTTCACAAACAGCACTTTGATCTTGTTTTAAAAATCAAAACTCTTTTTATAGCCATCAAATATTTATGGCGATATCACTTAAAATTATTTCTCCCCTGATTTCAATATGCATGAAAATGCAAACAAAGTATTCAATAAAGAAGTTTCTTGATTTCATTTTTAATGAGATGGAGTGTAATCAACTAGTTGCAATTCATGACATGAACTTTCTTCACCTCAATGACTTGCATTTATTGCAACCATTCAGGTTGTCTATGAACAATACAGATCAGAAATAAAGAATAAGTCCCTGATGAGACTTGAACACACATCCATTTTCCCCTGGGAGCCTGGTTAGTTACTGTTTGAACTACAAGATCCTATGGTTAGCAGAAGATCAATGCTAAACACAGTTACTTTTTATTTATAAATGCTTGATGCCATATTTGTAATTATTTTTAATATAAATTTATATGCATCAGTAGAGTAATGATCTGATTTATAACAATAAAGGAAGTGCTGGAGAGAAACTAGTGATAGCTGACAATGATTCATCTAATAAAATATAATCAAAATATTGTTTTTATTATTACTATTGATATGACCATAGACTTATTGTCTGAATGATTGTAATAAAAGCAACTAATTGAGATGAAAGAGATCTGTACTTAACAAAAAATTAAGTTGCTTCAATGAAACCTGCCTGTGGAGATATTTGAGTAGATTCCAACATTACAGAAAACTGCTGTTATCATCATAAAGAGTCTTCACAGTTTGTCTTTGGCTCCCCAGTAGCAGTCAAAGATACTGAAAATTCCATAACCCATTTGTTGCCATAGACTGCAATGAAAGTTTAACAATTTGGATAATAGATACCCAATAGGAAAGTGACCTCTTAGAGTCAAAGTCATTTGCACAAATCTGGAAAACTTGACAAGTCTTTCTGGTTTGTCTTCAAAAGCAATAAAAAAAAAATAAATAAATTAACCATCTAAAGACAATTTGGACACCTGAAAGTAACACCTGCTCATTCTTTTTAATTATATATATCAGAATATAAAAAGTCCAAAGTGTATAAAAATGCAGTATTGAAAATCAAATTGGATACCTACTAATTATCTTAAAATTGAGAATGCATTCCCAGTTCACTGAGCAAACTCTACAATATTTTATTTCTAATTTTATTTAATAATCATGATATTCAAATAAGCCACATTTACGTATTGGCTTAAGCTAACAGTTTTAAATTTTAATTCTTATATTTTATAAAAGAAAATGCTTATTTAATTTTTAAGGCAAACTGTTTCAAACTCTAAGCTAACACACTACAAGAGAAAAATTGCCCCAAGAAGCAGTTTTGCAATTTGTATAACTATTGGTGGCATAACAAAGCAAAATGGAATTGGCAAACTGAATTCAAATTCTAGTTCAAGCTGTTGCATTCACTTTCCACCAATGTCCTTTGGAATGTAAAATTATATTTATCTCTTCTTTCCCCAGCTGTGGATAAAATAGTTGGATGAACTGGACTCTCTAGTCTTGGTAATGATTTTGATTGATTGTTTTTTATGGCTTATCAACCCATTGTAGATATAAAGCTAAAACATTTTAAATAGTAAGAAAAATTATTTTTTGTAAGTGAATATTGCATTAACAGTTTTTTTTTTTAAATAATGATTTTTTTCAAGATACAAGTTCTGCTATTTAATCCATAGCTGGTGCTAGGAGATGGATCCATACATAAGTGAATATAACAAACCTGACTGAATTTGAACTAGGCTCTGATTTCTTGGTAAATAACCAGTTTGGAAGGACAACTCTGAATTAAAAACTGAACCAGGGAGAAGTCAATTGGAAGCAACTCTACTAATTTTTCCAAGAAATATCATAGAAATTCAGATATTGAAGAAAAGGAAGCTGTGGATAGCCATAGCCATCTACATCATGAAGAGGCATTGAATTTTTTTAAATTCTTAGAGAAAAAAATCTGTCAAATTTCCATAGCACTGGAAAAACCCACAGTATGGAGCTTTGAATTTAAGCATATAAATCTGCATGTTTTATTATAAGTTAAAATTATTTTATATTGATGCCAATATCAAATAAAAAATAAAAAAAGAGAAACAAATCAAAGACAATAAAAAGAAAATTCACTTACCATGCTGGACTTGAACTTATGGGGAATCACTTGCCGAGTTTTGGGATCTGGAAAAATAAAAGAAAAAACAAAATTATTATTTTTTTTTGCCACTATTATTTCACTAAAAACTCATGACTGATTGTCAGTGTCAGGAATTTTGATGTCAGCAAAAAAAAAAAAAAAAAAAAAAAAAAGAAACAGAAGAAATGTTTTCCTTTGGTCCTGAAATCTAAATGTGTATTTTTTTTTAATATTTCAAGCAAAATAACAGCCACATTATTTTAAGCTTATGTGATATGTTTGCCAAATGCTGATAAGGCTCATGTTGAAAGTCTGTAGATGTTTTTCACTTGATTATCTTTTTACAATCTCACCTTTTTATGTTCTGGAACTTATGAAAGCAAATCTAACATGTTTGAATATGAAACAATTTGCAATTATTATTGCATATTGCAACATTTTGCATTATTTGAATGTGAACTAATGTCCTCATCATTGTTGTTGCTATCATGTTTCAGTGATCATGCCTTCTGGTCTCTTTCAGGTGTCTGTTGCTTCAGGTAATCTCAAAGAAATTTTGAATTGAACCCTTTAATTTATGGGGTGGATTGTTCTTGTTCTGCTGTTTATACCTAGGGATATCTCATCTTGTTCTTTTTAGTACTGCTCAGTTATTGCTTGTCCTGTTTACATGGAGTCTAAGTCTGTACTACATACCAACAAAGATGAGGATATTAGTCACAGAAATTCAGACAGAAATTTTGCAATTAATCTCAAGATTTAAGACAATAAAAAACATTAAAAACACAAGTAGTTCCTTGTTTTTATTCAGTTAAGTATAATTTGAGAAGTTTTAAAATATAACCAATTCATGTGACCATATTTTATACTTACAAGAAATGGCTTAAACATTTTATTTATGCATTTCACATTCTCTCTTTTTTAAATGTTGATGTCTTCATTTTATTTTCAATTAAAAAAGCAAAAATTAATTCATGACAACTTTATATTTTATAGTAAAATTTCATATTTGAAATGTTTTTATATTTAGTCTCAAACCTTAGATTTGCAAACAGTTCTCTAGATCTGTGAATATAAATTACTTTATTAAATCATTTCGCAATGAAATAACAATATGAAAAAGACCAAAATTTTTCATAAGATGAAAATGATTTTAATAAATTTATTCAAAAGACTGATTCTTAAAAAACAAAAAATATTTTAAAAAATAACCAAAAGAAAACCATTTTCTATGGTTTCTTTTTGTATACATATTACAGAGAGAATGAAATTTAAAAATAGAAATTTCTGAAATGAAGCTATTCTGACAAAGGTTTTATTTAAAAATAATTTCTTATTTGTTTATGTAAATGATGACCAATAATATTCTGCCCTGCCTGAAAAAAAGGAGCCACAGATTTTATCTAAAATGAGCTAATCCAATTCCACTAATAAATCTTATAAAGAGTAGAAATAAACTTGAGATAACTTTAGTGCTTCAATATCTTTGTGATAAGCAGTACATATAGAACCTAAATTTTTTACCTCTCAGTGCTTGCAAATTTGAACTTTATAAATTCTCAGGTCTTCACTGAGAACAAAAAAAAAAAAAAAAATTTAGAAAATGGCACTAAGCATTTTGAAAATGATAATTGTAACATTTTAAGATTTTTTTCAATTATTCCATAATAGAATAATAATAAAAAAAAAATTGCCAAGAAGCAAATGTAGTCTTATAAAATAAATCATATATGATATGTTTATTCAAACAACTTATTAATTTTAAGTCTTATAAACCAATGATGCCAAGTTTTTAGGGAAAGCAGAAATATTTTATTGGTTTCAGTAAATGTAGATTGATTGAATGATTGATTACACTGAGAGTTGTTCCATGTCATGGTGGAGTGGCTTGCATGGTCTAATGACTGAAAGCAATGTTATTGGGAGTTCTAAACTTCTGGTAGGGCCACCTTTGGCAGCAAAGTTGAAGACAAGGACCGCAACCAAGCTTGACCAAACTTGACCAACCACAAAGACCCCAATGATTGAATAAATGGATGGATAATTACAACAGATTTCAATGGCTGAACCAGCAGATGAAGAGGGCTACACATGATTGGCATTCTACAGAAAGTACCACTCAAAATTATAACAGGTAGTCCCTTACAGTTTCATAACTGAATTCTGCATATCTCATTCCATATGTGCCACAGAGGAAAGTCATGAAATCAAGTGTATAGGTCACTTCCTGACAAGTTGAGGTCCATTTTAAACTAATTCACACCACTGGCACTTTCTTCTACTCTGATTTTGTTTCATCTTAAGCTAATTCTTGCAAAGTCAAATGGTGATAGGTAATAGATGACAGTAACAGGTTTTGGCTAAAACTGGAAGCTTTTAATTCTGAAGCTGCATATTGGAGGCAAATTTAGTCAACAACACCATCATCATAAATGAAGCAATCAGAAAAGAAGAAATTAAATTCTTGGTTATGAGATAAAGCTGATGATGATCAATCAATTGATTCAACATCATAGATGTAAATTCTTACTCAGTTTAGGGAAGTGGTACTTGGTTATTTAATTTTTTTTTAAATAACAAGTCTACATGCTTGAAAATCTCAACAGTATAATGATTTCTGCTGGAAAAATTTATGCTTTTGACATTTATTTATTTTACAGCAGACTTCTTTAATTGCATTCTTATTTTAAATAGATTTCTGTGAAAATGAAAATTCTGTGAAAAAGCCAAGGATATGTGAACTTATATCAGCCTTTACAATACCAAAAGATTTCTGGTAATCTGTCAGACATTTTGTGATATATAGAAAGCTGTAGATTACACATTATGGATTAATCCATGCAAACACCCACAATAATAGTGATGATTAAAAAGAACTTGGAATTTTATTATGAAGATCTGAGAAGGGAAAGCAAAAGCTTTGGTTTTTGAGAAACTGGCAATTTTCTTAAAAATCAAACCACCTGATAATAGATGTGAGGATCCTTTTTGTCATTGATTTGTGATTTGATAACAAATCAATATTCATTCTTAATTGATTAAAGTCTAGGTCAGATATTTTGTAGAAATTGTAATAAATCCAAATAAAATGATTGTAATTGAATTCCAGTTGAGTTCATTACATTCACACTCTTCAGAAAGGTAGGAATCGATCTCTTTTCCCTACAATTATGGCCTGAATAGTAGATGAGAGTGGGTCATATAGCCCTGGTTGGTAACCAGTCTACTGCAGAAAGAAATGGCATCTGACTGTAGAAAATCTTCTGCCTAGTCAGTCATAAATCAAAAGAGATATGATCACCTAAATGTTTATCATACATGGGACTTAACTGATTGACTGAAGGCATTTAATAAATCCTACACAAAGTCAAAAATTCTTCCCATCACTTAATTGGTAAGGTTGCTTCCAAATTCCTAATATTACAATTTGTATAGATAACACAGTGGATATGTTTAAGTTTTTGTTCCTAATATGAAAATCAATAACTTTAATATTTTCTTCTAAGTTTTTAAGATAATAGATTATTCATGGACACATTTTCTAAAAACAAATATTTTCATTTTTCGAAATCCTGCAAAACCAGTTTAATTTCTTTTTTGTTTTCTATTTCAAAATGAGAAAAACAAATTTACATGAAATAACTAAATGTAAAAATAGAGTATGTTGAATAGACATTAACTGGAGCAACATCCAACTTCCCCAATCCTCAATGCTAAACATTGCTTTTTCTATTGCTAGATGTATTTAATAGCAGTAGATAGGTTTGCTTAGAATCATGTTCATACTCATCTCTGGTCTTTTGAACAGGAGTAGAGGTTTATCCTTTGTTTCCTGTTTAGGATTGGTTTTCTGGTTCCTTCTAAAGTCTACAACTCTATATTTCTAATCCTTGTTCCTTGTTTAGGATCAGATTTCCAGTTTCTTCTAAAAATTTTTCATTCTCTTTCACTCCCAATAGCTCTTTGAATCTTAGTGGCACTATTTCCCTGCTTGGGGTGTAATGATTAAACAAATGTAAATTAAGAGTAATACTTTCATGCTTGAGAGCTTCAAGGCAGACTCTTCGTTTCTGCTCAGCTGAGTAAAGAAACTGACGTTGACAGTACTAAATACTGTCTTCCAAAAGGATCTCACCTATGGGCATAGGATACAAGATGGTTCATTCAGTCATAAAATAAGTTGGTCCTCTGTTATCTAATATGGTAATTTGACTGAATTACTATTTTTATTGGTATAATGTTGAGACTGATTTAAGTAGTCCAACATTTAACTACAAAAATAGTGTATATATGCATGTATGTAAACACATGCTGCTGCTGTATTCACTTCACAGTAATGTCCGTGGAGAAGGCACAAAGTCATCTCTTCCTCCTCCTGGCTATGAGTAAAACAATAGGGCAGGCTGGGCCCTTTAGTCTTATTAAGGTAAGTAATCTAGAATGATAACTTTGAATTCAAACTCTTTGTTATATGCCATGAACCATTGTGGCAAGATAAGGCCTATTACTCTCCATCTATGACAGACTTTGAGAAGACTGTAGATTGAGAAAATTGCTGATATAAATAGAATAAATATGTACATATATACAGCCAATTTCTATAATCTGACTTTCTTAGTAATGGAAATTTTAAATACCCCTTAAATATCCTCTTTTTGATCAAATTTTGATGAGATTAAAAATTAAAAGATAGGATTTTATATATATATATATATATATATATATTTTCCAAGTTAAATAATTTTGTGTAATATAACAATAATTATTGATAATTTTCCCTATCCTCTTTGTACTTGGATTGTTTTTGTATTTCCCATTTCTTTATTTCTTAGGATAATTGTTACAAACGATATTATTTAGGGACTGCAAGTAGAGAAAATGCTTGTTTAGCTAAAAAAGACAAATAAAAACCATGGATTTACTAGCCTTTTTTACTAAGGAGTATGAGAGACAGAACATCATAGTGAGTGGGTGAAAGAGTCACCGAAAAGCAGAAATTCTTTTGCTATCATTAGAAAAGGCCATTGCTTTAATCTTCCCTGTT